TTTTGTGTGTGATAATTTGAGTTTGTTGAGTTATATTAGGAGTCTATTATGTTAATTGATTCACTTTCCATTTTAAAAACAGTGTAATCCCCTATTTCACGCCGTGAATACAGTCGAATACAATAATCTGTCCAGCTGTAATCCCATGTTTCACTCCATGAATACAATCAAATACACTCGAATACAACAACTGATTAGCTGGACTTCCCTGATTCACGCCTATTTTTGCTACTGTATTCATGAATACAATAGCTTAAATACATCAAATACATCTTATAACCACATAAAAGGTATCTATAATCATAATATAGCAAATGATATCTATAAATGATTAATTACTATTAAAAGATAGTATTTTATGAAAATTTCTCTAGAAAGTATTCAATCAAAAATGAGTCCATTCCTTTTTTAGCATATACAACGAGAGAAAATATTACGAAAACGACCAAAATTCGACCAAAAACTTCTAGAATAAGTAGACAATAATCAATTATTTATTTTTGAGTCAGAACAAAAGTTAAGGAATGCAACTAAAAAGTAAAAACATTAGTCCAAAAAGACACATTTTAATACTCAAAGGAATCTATTTTTAGATCTTTCCAAATCACAAAACATTTAATAATATTATTTCCTTTGTTCTGAAACCTTTCTTAGTCAATAAGATAAAGCACCGAATAATTTAAATATTAGATTATCCCTTTCATACATTCTCTCACTTATCAACAACTTGGAAATAGAAAATAAATCTCTCCAAACAAAAAATAGCAAAATAATATAATAAAAAAATAAAAAAAGAAGTAGCACAGAAACTCGGTGCACCCAGCTGTAACCAACACCGCTCCCACCGCGGCAAATACGCGCCACTAAACGACTGACCGTTATTTCAAAACAAACATGCCCTTGCCACGTCATACTCGCGTTACTTTTCTCCGTCTTTGTCAACCTCCTTTTCATTTTTCTTTTGGTTAAACCTCCTTTTCATTTTTATTCTTCCATTTCTCCGTCAATCTTTGCCTTTTTTTTTCTTCTTTTTTCCTTTTACATAATTAATAAAACGGGAAAATACTTATATAATCAAGTTACTTAAAAGATAGTTATAAATAATTTTTATTTACTATAAAATAAACAATGACTAATATACTATAATAAGTTAATTACACTAATATTACAAAAAGTTATTACTCAATCAAATATACAAAACATAAATAATAGGAATAAGGGAGTCTATACTAAAAGCACAAACTAAGGTATAAAAAATGAACGCTTAACCTAAATAGTTGTCCCCCAAACCATTTAAATTAAATATAACTGATGGATATATAATATGTGTATAATTTATGTATAACCATGTATAATTAGTGAATAATCTATCACTTATATATACTAACTCGAAGAAGTAAACAGTACATTCTACCGGCTATTTGTATAAAAATCCCATAAAAGATTACTTAGACAGCAATGTACAAGAACCCAAAGTTTCAAACCGATGACATAACCAATATAGGAAAAATTTATTGGATTTAATATTTTCATTAAGAGATGTTAAAATATAAAAGAAAATATAATTTTTCAGCGGCCTTGAATACACTAATAGTGCCTTAATCTGTTCTCAATCTTTTGAGGAATTTCTAAAGCAATTTAAGTTATATATTCAAACAATATAAGAAATTTAACCTTTTATTTAATTTTATTAATTCAAATACTTATTAAATGTAATAATTAATAGTAATTACTTTTTAAATTACTCGATCGTATATATATATATATATATATTTTTTTTTTTGCATAAACTAATCTCTTTTTGTGAAATCTTTTTTCTCTCATAATTTTCACTTATTTCCATTTTCTCCCTCCAACCTCTTTTTTTTTATTTTTTTTATTTTATATATATATATATATATATATTTTAATTATGAAAAAATAAAAAAACAAAAAGGAAAACACCATTAAATGCTTTATGCTAGAGAGTGAGAAAGAGGGTTTTTCTTCTACTTGCTGTCACTTTCACACTTCAGTCCAAAGTGCATTACAATCTGTCATATACATGCACATAAAGAGAAAAAGTTCAATTCTTTTGCTTATTTATTTATTTTCTTCTGTCTTTTTCTTTGCCTTTTTAGTCAATTTTTTATACTTTGCTTTATTTCCAGTTCCTGGTTATTTATCGCATCTTAACTTTGCTTATTACACTAAAAATCTTGATTTCTTAGGAAAGATCGGAAAATTGGGAAAATTGAGAAATTGGGTGTGAATTAAAAAGAGAATCTTTAGAACTGTGATTTGCTCAATTCTCATTAAAGAACTGGGCTTTCTTTGCTCTTTGTAAGTTCTGCTTACTTTTTTTATTGATTTTTTCTGTTAAACATTTTATTATCTCTCATTGTTTATGTATTTTTGTGTGATATTTTCATGGTTTATTTAGCGGAAAAGCCCTAATCTCAATGTTAAACTGTTTATTGTTTGTGAGAACTGAAAAAAGATTGTATTTTTATTTGTTTTTTTACTTGTTTGTTGTAATGATGCTTTTAACTGGCTCTAGGTGATTAATGTCATATGTTAAAACTGTCTTTTTTTGTGAGAATAGAAAAAAGATTGTATTTTTATTTGTGTTGTGGTTTTTGTGTTTGAGTTTTTGTGATAAATTGGATACCCCTTGATTTGGAATTAGGTAGGAGATAGTGTGAAGAACAGATTACCTGACAATGTATACTCAGAGGATGCAATCTGATTCTATTCTTGGCCGAAAAAATGATGGATTGGGCTTTGGAATACTATGTGGTTCTAAGTTTCAAGCTGGGCTTTTTCCATCTGGTAATGAAAATGGGTGGGGGTCTGATATGGATACTGGTTCGGATTCGGACGATGGGGTTTATGGTGGACATTACTCAGTTGAAACTTCACCTCAAGATGATAAGTTTCACAATGTTGGTATTCTAAAGAACAACAGTTTTGAGAGTGTGCCTGGTTATGGAGTTAAAAAACCATCAAATTTTGTTGCAAGTTCTAAAACTACAGCTTCGGTGCCATTTTCGAGACAGGTGTGCAGTTTTACTTTTGCCTCTTGGTAAACAATGTAGGACTAGTGAGTGGAAGCTTGGGATAGTTCTCTACTTGTTGAGTGATATAAAGAAATGAAGCCACTTTGAAATCTTCTAGGAGATTACTTTAATGCTCAACCTGATATCCTTGTGAATGAATAAGGCTTAATTTGACGTAAAATTTATGTTTGGCCTGTTTATGCTTCTCCTTCTCATGAGATACAACAGTTATAGTCTCTTATGAGGACCCATTGCATTAGGGCCGGAGCCAGAGTGCCGACTACGGGTTCGGCTGAACCTATTTATCTTAAAAAATTCATTGAATATATACGATCTATTAATTTAGAATCCAGTAACTTAAAAGGATTAGAGTCCTGAACCGATAAGCTTGAAATCCTGGCTCCGCCTCTGCATTGGATGGCTATTAATGAGACTCTAAAGTTACCAGGAAAGTGGAGATACCATCTAACAAGATTGTTATGGGAGTGCTAATCAGAGGAATCCCAATTTTTTTAAAACTTATTTCTCTTCATGAGTAGGCTGCTGATTGTCACTACTTATGATACCAAGTATCTTAGGTTTCTATTTGGCATAAGTTTCCAAGAAGGTGGACTGAAAGTTTAAGCCTTTAAAACCATTTGCGAGAAGGTGGACCAGAAGTATAAATCTCTGATTGGTTCGTTCTTTTGGGTATAAACTATGATCATATGTGCCTCCATAACATGTAACTACGTGTCTGTATAACTGTTTCAATGAGGATCAAGTACTCTGTTCTTTTGTAGTAACCTTTCTATGCAAATATGTTACGCTTATTCTGTCTACTGATTCTGTTCTGTGATGAAGCAGAGCCCGAAGTTGTCCAATGGTAATATTCCCAGTGCACCCCCTTTAGGTGGTTCATTACAACAACGGGATCAAATTTTTGAGCAACGTAAAACCTTTGTGGCAGATGATATCTCCTTCCCAGAAATATCAGGTTGTTCTGTAGCAATGGATGAAGCTAAAGCATATAATACTGCATCCGTAGGTGCTGCAAAAGATGGACAGTCTGATCCGTCCGGAAGGTTTGAATCATGACATGTTTTCTTTTTCTGAATAATCGTCGAGGATTTGAAGACATAAAGTGAAAACCTTGTTGTCATTCTCAGGGTTGGTGGTGTACCTTCTAATTCTTCATCTGCCGTCTTTCCAACATATCATGCAAGGTATTTCACTCAGAGTGGTCTAAAAATTTTCTATCATAAAGTTTCTGTTAGGAGTATTTGATGTATTCATCATCTTCTTTTGTAATTTGAGTTGGATACAGTGTACGAGGTAGTTGGCAAGCTTTCGTTGCTTATGAGGCATGTGTTCGACTATGTCTTCACTCATGGGCGAAGGGTTGCCACGAAGCTCCAGCTTTCTTGGAAAATGAATGTGCCTTGTTGCGAGATGGTTTTGGGTGCGTTTCGTTCCAACACTTTTGCTCTATTTCTGTTTCCATGCTCTATACATTTTACCTCGTGCCAAAATACGGGAGAAGCTATTTTCTTGTTTGGAGTCTCAAATAGTCTTGTCTTTTACAGAAAAATTAATATGCTGCCACAGGTTATATCACATTAGGACGATTCAGAAGCTGAGACTTATCTGATACCATTCAATTGTCAACTTATAACAGAAAGTTTGAGTTGCGCTTTTATTTTAATGATGATTTGGTGGTTGGTGCTGCATACCGAGTCTATACAGTGTACACTGTTTGATTTGTAATGTTTTTGCATATTGTAATAGCATGTCGGTTCATCCTGTGCATTTTATTTATTTGTAATTCTTGACCTTATGTTGCAAATATTTCAGCGTAAGGCAAGGATTGTTACAATCGGAGGAAGAGCTATTGAAGAAAAAGTCCTTGGAACTTGTTGGTGAGGGAGCCTCGATGAAGCCAAAGAAAACTTTTGGCAAGCTGAAAGTTCAAGGTACTTTAGAGGTTTCATGTTAAAGTTTTGATGACTTCTTGCTTAGACCAATCAGTTGTCAAACTGAACTGTATGATTCTCTTGTAGTGCGTAAAGTGAAATTGGCATTGGACCCACCCACGGGCTGCAGCTTTTCCACTCTGAAACCACCGAAGGTAAAACTGGAGGCTATACGTGCTCAGTTGTCCAATGTGAAATCAACTCTCAGTTCTGAGTGGGGAGCCATACGAAAAGTACGTGTGGCTCCAAGGATTCCTCCAAATGGTTCTTTATCACGTCAAAGCTTGGCATACCTTCATGCCGGTACTCGTTATGTAAAAGACATTTCTGAGATTTTGAAACTTGGTGCAACTTCTTTACGAAGCAGTTCAACATCATATGAAGTAGTTCCAGGTATGCAACTCTTAGCTGAGTTCTTGGAGTTATGATTATTAGCAACTTTGCTCCCCTTTTCTTCTATTCCATTGTCCTCGGTGACTGTTAAGGTGGGAAGCACTTATTATTGTCCAATTTCTATGGATCTAGCGGGTAGTTGATAGCCAATTTTGCATAGGATTTGGAATTGGAAAATTTGAGGAATAATGTACCATAGTTCTGTTCGCTTCTTTCTTCTTAGGACTTCAGAGGTTTTGATATTTAAAACTCTGTGCCTAAGCTTCAGTAAAATAATATGATAAGTCTGTTGCTGCAAAGCGGGATGTTGCTTTGTTCTTTCTAGACAATGCCACTGAATTCGATTTTTTGTCTTGATGCAGAGACATACTTTTGTTCGTTGAGATTGAAAAGCCTACCTGAAGAGGACACGGTAAAAATGCAAGCTGGATCCGCTGAAACACATCTATTGTATGTGGACTTGTTTGCCCAAATTTTAATTATTAGTACATGTTTTTCATCTTCTTGGCATTGACGGTTGATAATATCGATAATATGATTCAGCTTACCAGAGGGGCTTGGGGATGACTTAATTGTTGAAGTACATGACTCAAAGGGAAACTACTGTGGTCGTGCAGTAGCTCAGGTTGCTGATATTGCTGATGATCCGGTATACTTTCTGGATCTCATCTGTTATTATTTCTGTTATTGAGGTTTAACTTATTTGGAGGAAAACTTAATTTTGATTGCAAAATTGCAGGGAGACAAACTCCGTTGGTGGTCCATATATCATGAACCAGAGCATGAACTTGTCGGAAGAGTACAGCTATACATAAATTATTCTACTAGTCCTGATGAAAATAGCCACACTAAGGTATCAAAAATCCTGCAAAAACCTTATTTTTTTGTATTATTTGGCTGTAAAAAGACTTCCAGAAGCTAAATATTTGTACTCGTCCACCTACATTTTTTCTGAATTAACAAACACAAAATTTCACTTACGGAAGCTCAAGTATCATAGCTTTTTCTTGACGATCTGTAGATTCATATCGTATGCCATCGCTAAGTTGCTTTATTTGAATACTTCTATATTACGTATGCTTATATAACCATATGTGTGGTCATTATACACATGTTTATTTAGTGAATGTTAAATTAATGTTATTCGGAGTTAGCTTTAACAAAAGGTTTGTTGTTATGTTCTCCCTGTAAGTAGTGCCAAATTATTGAACATCTGATAATTAGATCATCCCCTGAAGAAAGAGAAGCATATTTGCAGTTTTTGCTATACAACAACAACAACAAACCCAGTATATTCCAACAGGGGGGTCTGGGGAGGGTAGTGTGTACGCAGACCTTATCTCTACCTAGTGAAGGTAGAGAGGATGAAATAAAAAGGTAGAGAGGATGTTTCCAATAGACCCTTGGCGGTTTTTTCCGCTATGATGCTTATTTTTATAACAATGACAAGGCAACATATTTTCTTGGTATATTCTGCCATAAACTAAACATGGTATATATATATATATATTTATTCATTGATTTTTCTGTACGTTCACAATTATGTGGTATGATGGATGACCAGAAGTTAGGTTTCTTGACGTTGATTTGTTGCTTATTTTTCTGCTAGGGTGGTCCTGTCGCAGAAACCGTTGCATATGATTGTGTTCTGGAAGCAGCAATGAAGGTTCAACAGTTTCAGCAGAGAAATTTGTTGCTTCATGGTGCTTGGAGATGGTTGGTAACTGAATTTGCATCATACTATGGAGTCTCAGATGCATACACTAGGCTAAGGTATGGTAGATTATCTCGGAAAATCTTTTATACTTGGCATCACTCCGAGATTTGATAAATGACCCACATGGGGAATTCTGCTAAAAATTCCAATTTGTGTGTTAGATATCTTTCTTATGTCATGGATGTTGCGACGCCTACAGCGGACTGTCTGAACTTGGTGTATGATTTGCTACTACCTGTGGTCTCTAAAGGCAGAACTAAGAATACCCTAAGTCATCAAGAGGTAAGATGATTTTGGTTTGAATTGTTCACTGTTGGACCTTTTTTTTCCCTTTAGTTAATTGACTTATTCCATATAGTTATTAGCAGGAATGGATAGGTTAGTGGTAAGAGCTACTGTTGGGCTCCTGGGGAAGGGGGCGTTGGCAGAGTGGGGATTAGTATTACCATATATATAGAAAAAGATTTTTTCCCTAGTCATAATTTTTTTTGGAGGCAATTACAGCTTATCTTGAGAAAATGGAAAAGATCATGTTTGGTGACAGTAAAAACCGAATGTAAATGATAAAACATAGTTTGAGTCGTCAGACAGATTGATTTGTTTAATTAAGCTGTAATAGGAGGCACTGTGATTTCACAAAATATGGGGTAATTTGCAGTTGTAGTTATTTTATGGGTTCGGCTGCTCCAAGCATAAGTTTCTGTGATCCTTATTACGAACTCTTTATCTATTTTAATAGTTAAGGGAGAGTGAAGCAGTTGCTTAATGAAGCCTATCACATGCTTTTTCGCCTCTTAAATACCTCTCTAACTACCTTTCTGAGAAGAAAAAGGAAAGTGTTAAAAATGTCACTACATTGTATAGGTGGTTCTATTTATTTTTCAACATGTTATGCACATGCAAGTTTGTGTTCCAGAATCTAGTGTTATTTTATTACTTCTCAGTTTGTCCAGGATAATGAAACGCATTTGTATTCACTGCAATACTTTGTTTGACTTTTTATCATGAACCAGAATCGAATTTTAGGAGAAGTTTCCGAAAAGATCGAGCTGATCGTTGCACTAGTTTTTGAGAACTACAAGTCTTTAGACGAATCATTACCATCAGGGATGGCTGATGTGTTCAGACCTGCTAGTGGAGTTGCAGCTCCCGCACTGTCTCCTGCTTTGAAGCTGTATAGTCTTCTTAATGATATACTTTCTCCAGAGGCGCAGTTGAAGCTATGCAAAAATTTTCAGGTTCTGGAAACTATCTTCCTACTTATTTTCTTTTAAAGGGAACGGAAGATGTGGAACCTTCCTTTTTTTCTGGAGAAGCTTTCTCACTTTTGCGCATCAATTTTTGTGTAGATTGCTGCGAAGAAACGATCCAGAAGACACTTGGCAGAAACAGATGAATTTGTCTCCAACAACAATGATAACATATTGATGGATCCTGTGGCTCGCTCCACCGCTTACCAGAAGATGGTATCACTTTGTTTGAATATCAGACGTGAAGTTCGTACTGACATGGAGATCCATAATCAGAATATACTTCCAAGGTACATTACCCCTTCCCTCATTGGAGTGTGGTCCTTTGTCATTCAGCTATAAAGCTGGAAATTTAGAGGGTCAATACTGGTTATTTGAAGTTCGCTGGTCATTTTGCCTGTGATACCGATTTTGATGGATCAATCTATTATTCCTTTTTCTTACTAATTTGGATAATTGAGTCACTGAACCATGTAAATACAACACAGTCTACTTTTATTACAACTATAACTACTACTACTACTACTAAGCCTCAACCACAAGCTAGTTGGGGTCGACTATATGAAATTCTCACTACCCATGTCGCTCCATTTAAACTCGTCTCACAGTCTATTCATATTGGTTCAGCTTTATTGGTTCTAATCATGATTGAATATGCATATCTTTTGATTTGCATCAATTGATGCCAACTTACTGACTGCTTTACTCCAACTTGCATGCTCAATGCCTTTATTCAAGCATGGTAAGTAATGGTGCGAACCATTTTGTTGCATATATATTGTGGAGCTTTCTCAGGAAATTAGACACTTTGTGCTTTGTGGTCCGTATGAGGAAATAAATTATTGTCTCACTCACATTCTTTATGATCTGTTTGTTTGTTCTTATGGATAAAATTTGACCTAGTCTTGTTAGTATAGAATTGTTTAGAAATATTCGTGTATTTTGTTAGTTCTTATGTAAGTCTCATAAATTTTTTTAAAAAAGAACTATGGATGTTGGTCTACTCTGGACACGAGTAATCACCTCTCTTTGCTGCGAAGAAGATAAAAGAAATTAAATAAAGACAGCGGAAAGATCTTCTGATAGCATGTAGATATGTTATTAGGCAATTACTATATGGAATGCCATTACTCATAGCTATTTCTGGGTTAATCTTGTGTAGTTTCCTAGACCTCCCAAATCTTTCTTCAGCTATATACTCCACGGAGCTATGTAGCAGATTGCGTGCATTCCTTGTTGCATGTCCTCCCACTGGTCCCTCGTCTCCTGTAGCTGAACTCATTGTCGCGACAGCTGATCTTCAGAAGGATTTTAGTGCCTGGAACATCAGGTAATGCATGTTCGTTAGTTCAATTTTTACTGCTCGTCCTATGTGTATGATCTTAACAGAGGTGAAAACATTTTCACAGTCCTGTCAAAGGTGGAGTTGATGCAAAGGAGTTGTTCCATCCATATATTACCCTCTGGATCAAGGAGAAGCGTCTTGCTTTGCTCGAATTCTGTAAACCTGACAAGGTATGTCAATCCCCACATTGTTGTGATTTGTCGACAATATGTTCAAATGACTTAGCTTATGCACATAATATATGTACTGTGACTTTGTATGCATATAGGACAGAGATGTATACCAGGGATAGTTCGTCTTGTAGCTTTCAATTTCTAGTGGTTTTTGTTCCTACATTTTACAGCTTTGGAATCCGACTTTTTGTGCATTGCTTCCTCAAGGAGAAAGCTATCAGTACATTAAGTATCTGTCTTCCAAGTCCCAGTGGCTATATCGTCTTCTCAATTCCAAACTAGTTGGTTCAGCTGCATGAATCATGTCTCCATTCTACTTTACACGGGTCCATTTCCTTCCTATACTAAATAATCTGTGTTTTGTTGTGATAAGGTTACTAAATAATTTGTAGGCAAAATGAGGGCTTAAAAAATTCCTCGATTGTACAAGACCTTTTTAAATGTGCTTAATGAGAGAGAGATCTGAACTGCTTTCGTAGAATTCTCTACTTGACTATAGTTGTATTATCTGCAGATAAAGTGGCCCTGTGTAGATGCACAGTATTCGACAACTCCTTTTGTTGATGATATCTATGAACGAATAAAGGAGACATTAGCTGAATATGATGCTGTCATAAGACGCTGGCCTGAATACCTTTTCTCGTTGGAAACTGTATGTATAAACATTGCTCTTCAAATTCTTCATCTTCAACTCCTTTTGCACTTGACTGCTTTTTAAGTTAATAGCAGTAACAACTTTGGGGTGGGTGGGGGTGGGGTGGGGGGAGTTCTTCATTTTGTCTTTTCCCTTCCCTTTGTGTTGTGGAGCATTTGACGTTAGAACACTTTAGAAATGTTTATATATGATTCTTGTATTAGTGATAGACTTCGAGAAAGCAAGATTGTATATGTGAAATCTCTTATTACTCGCTAAAGTTCAATTAGTTTTGTCTATTTTTCACGACTTGTTACAGTGACTAACGACACTTATATTTCCACGTCTTTTCAAAAGGCTATAGCAGACGTAGAAAAGGCGGTTATTGAAACCTTGGATAAGCACTATGCAGATGTTTTATCTCCATTAAAGGAGAATGTAATGCCCATTAAATTAGGTCTCAAGTATGTCCAGAAAATTACCAAAGGCACAGTATGTCCCTATGCAGTCTGCAAAGAGGTGAGCTCCGCGGTCTTTGTGCAATAGCCTTGTAAATGTACGAATCCTTTATTTTCTGTTTTCTACTTCCAATAAAACAACGGTCTGAGTTATTTTTCAGCTGGGAATTCTTTTGAATTCCATGAAGAGAATGCTGGATGTTCTACGGCCGCAGATAGAACTGCAATTCAAGTCATGGGGTTCTTGCCTGCCAGATGGTGGTCACGTCACCCCAGGAGAGCGTATCAGTGAAATTACAGTTATGTTGAGAACCAAATTCAGAGGTTATATGCAAGCAATTATGGATAAACTTGTCGAAAATGTAGGTATTCTATTAGAATCGTTACAGTCTTGTGCTCTTCAGTTTTTCTTTAAAATTCTTCTTTGTTGTTTGCAAGGGTTGTGAAGATTTAATCAATATCGGTTTCCTGTAATTCTAGAGTTAAAGATATCTACGGAGAGGGGTCTCTGAATAAACTGTTTCTATATACAGACGAGATTGCAGAGTCCCACCAAACTGAAGAAGATAATCCAAGATGCTAAGGAAGGTACACAGGAGTCTGATTTACGAGTTAGGATTCAGCCACTGAAGGATATGCTGGAAAATTCAATTGAGCAACTTCATATGGTATTTGAGACACAAGTTTTCATAATTATTTGCCGAGGCTTCTGGGATCGGATGGGGCAGGTTAGTAAATAGCATATTTTTTGAAACATCTAATATTGGCTTATCCAATTACTCTTCCCTAATCTCGCGCACTTTTTAAATGACTCGCACTTGTTTAATTGCAGGATGTGCGAAAGTTTTTGGAGGAAAAGAAAGACAATAGATCTTGGTACAAAGCATCACGAGTTGCAGTATCTGTGAGTTGATGCTACTTTTCCTCTAGTAAAGCCTATCTTGTATTCTATCATCACATCTTTAGAAACGTTGAGTTGCATGCCACTTTTTCTACCAGGAAATTAAATTGTGTAATCTAGAATCTTCATGTCATACGAAAATAAGGGAATGGGGATCTTCTGGTTCTTTAAAGCTCAAAACGTTCATATGATAATTATGAGCCGAGGGTCTATCGGAAACAACCTCTCTACTCCCTCGGGATAGGTAAGGTCTGGGTACACACTACCCTTCCCAGACCCCACTTGTGTGATTTTAGTGGGTTGTTGTTGATTTGTGAATGAATGTTTATAGAGGAGCTAATTAGATGATTCCTATCTAAACCATGTTATATCTTCGCCTTCTCTATGTAAGCAATGTTCACATCTCTCCCTCTGTTGTAAATTGTTTTTGCTACTTTTTCCAACTTTTCCGCGGAGAATAGAGGTTCTTTGAAATTTCTGTCGAAAAAGAAAAAGATAAAACAAAGATAAAAGAAGAGCCTATTAGCTTCCTTTGTTTGTTTACTCTGTACATTTCCCTTGATGGTTTTGTTTTCAACTTGCAGATTTTAGACGACATATTTGGATCAGAAATGCAAAAATTTCTAGGTAATGCGCTTCAAGAGAAAGACTTGGAACCGCCTAGATCTATTGCAGATGTTCGATCCATGCTTTGTAAAGACGCTGTGAATGACAACGACAACAACTACTTTTATTAGAGTATAGCAAATTGTACATAGTATATATACAAAATACTTCTGGATAGCACTTTCCTAACTACTTTTTGTCGCGGAGAAATATCAAGAGCTGCAGCCTTGCTCCCCAGGAAGCGTAGCATGGAGCCGCATTGGGGTTCTGTCCAATTTTGTTAGGTACTCTATGTTTTGGTTCTTATAAATGGCTGATATAGAGCACAACTGATCATTTTTTATTCATTTAGAAAGTTGTAATACTAGTTTTCTGAGCTTGTATACTCTTGGATATTTCTCAAATTATAGCCAAGGTCTGGGGAGGGTATATAGTACGCAGACCTTACCTCTATAGTGAATGTAGAGAGGCTGTTTTTAGTAGACTTTCGGCATGAGGAAAAATGAGAAAAGAGCAGTAGCAACAAGCAATAACGAGAACAAAATAAAAAAAACAAGGCAAAAGGTACAATAGGTAACAATCATCCAAACAAGCCGTAAAGAGTGAGATTAGTAACTTGAAAAATAAAACATATTACATGATACAACTTATTAAAATACACTAGAAATTTACTGTTTGTATATATAAATTAAATCCTTTTCCTTCTGAGTCCCACATATCTGACCAGACAGAGAATCATAGGACTAATTAAAAATCAGACAACCTACTATTCAACACCTTATTTGAAAAATTAAAACTCTCCGTCCAAAAATGCTTTTATCTGTAATTTTTTAATAGGTTGTCCTTAAGAATCTAGTTTGATCATATAAAATTAATATAAGTGATGTTACTGCTTGTTAGTGGCAAACAGAATATTATTATTTTTATATCCGCCCGACCAATATATGTGGCATAATATGATTGAAAAAGTTGTATAAAAAACTCATAAGAATTTTCTTTTTTTTTTTGTTACAAAAACATGGAAAATATTTTCGTTAGCCAGAAACTAACGTAACAATTTACGTCTCAATTCCAAATAATTTGGAATTTATATGAATTATTACTTCTTTGTTTTTTTAAAGTCCAGTTCATGCCATCATCATATCGGATGTAACATGTGCCTAAGTGGGACGAAGGGCAGAGCTAGCATAGAGTTTACGGGTTCGACAAAACTAGTAGCTTGGTCCAAACTCTGCATCTACCTTAAAAAATTTATTGTATATAACAAATTATTAATTGCCCGGTAGCTTAAAATATCAAAAAATATCGACAACATAAATTCCAAATTCTGACTCCGCCTCTAAGTGAAAAGTCCAACAACATTTGTATTATGAGATTTAGATATTGATGGAAGTGTCAAAAACAATTATGAGACATATCTCAGTGAAAATATTACACATACTCCCTTTTTGAGAGATTTATCGCAAATATTCTATTTAAATATTCTGATTTTCTTATTAGTAACAATTAAATAGGAACCAAGAGAATATTTCATTAGAAAAATAGAATGAAAAAAGAAAAGAATTCAGTGGATGTAGTCAATTATGGGCTACAATTATAGGAGTATCAAAGCATTTAAAAAAAGTGCATGTTCAAGAATTCATCAAATATATTCATAGGCACATTCTAAGGAATAAAACCAATCTTTATAAAAAAAAAATAACATTATGCCAAAGATGCAATGCATCTCAAGCAACAGAGAATTATACTGCTTGTCTCAAGAAATTTCCTCCCCTTTTTGGCATAGGCGTATCTAATATAGAAGCTATGTGTTCAATTGACCCATAGCTTTTGTTCATACCATGTACTTTTTGCCCCAAAAATCATTAATTATGTACGAATAATAAATTTTGAACCCAATAAATTAGATGAAATATGGAAGAATTATGAATCTGAACCCATAAAGTATAAATTATGGATCCGCCTCTGCTTTTTGGTCTGTACATTCAATTATTAAAAGGAAAATGGGGTTGTGTTGGCAAGAAGGAAAGATGATTGGCATCTTGCCCGATAGATATGAGGACCAATAATAGCCGGCAAAATGTACCGCATTTTCTAGACGAACCAGAGCCAATCCAAATTGATCTTATAAAAGATTTGCTACAGAATGAATGCGTTGATTTTTCAAATAATTCATATTGTCAAGTGCACGCATTTCAAATTTTCGGCCAATAAATGATGGGCGACGGCCAATATATCTTGTGGTAACAAAAATGTATTGTTTTGCAATATCAAGGTTCAGTCTTTGGTTCATTTTCGTCGTCTAATCTTTCCTAATTTACATCTTTGTTGAAAGAATTTCTTCCCTAACTACGTTGTATGGATGCTCCCAAAAATAAGAATCGGCAAAATGCATCCCTAATTATACTGTATACCCAGTCAGCCACTCCAAAAATAAGAGCCAGCAAAATGTATCCTAACTATACTGTATAGCCGCTCCCATAAATAATACTTAGCTGATAAAATATATATTTGTGTATATTAATATATAAAAAATATATACTTTTATATGTAATAAGTGTATATTTTTATATATTTGGCTAGTGAATGTAATCATTTTTGGCCGTCTGGCTAACTTGCCCTAGAATTTACCTGACATTTATTTAAAAAACAAGTAAAAAGAATTTCCAAAAAATTGAAAAAGTTTTTTTTATTTTTTTTATTTTAGAAAAAAGTCTTCAAGAGCTTTTAAAACAAAAGCCACATTGAAAAAGTACATTCGTTGGAGCCTATATGTATGTGCCTAGCACACGCTCTCATACCTACTAGGTGACAACTATTGACCTTATGCAATTAGAACCTTTCTTTAATTTGATTTAATATTTGGGTAGCGACAAAAAAGAGGAAAAATATATTTGGGTAAAAATCGGATGATTCAAGGGCAATATTAATATATAAAAAAATTAGGGTGAGCGCAGCTAGACGTACCTTGCTTCTTCCTTTTTGTATATGTATCTGCATTATTTGAAATTTACTAGTTCGACTAATATGAGATTGTATCGCGTAAAACCTACTAAATGAGAAGTGCTCTCCCTCTACAAAATTTTCATTTCGAGAATTTAAATATGAAACCTACTAAATGTTATATTGGATCTGTACCGTGCTCCGGAACTAACATACGGGCCCGATACCAACATGATCAAACATTATTCAATTTCTTTAAATCTTTAGATTTTCAGTTTAACAATTTTTTAACAAAAATTCATCACTCGGGCTAGGGACCTCGAAATTTGATTCCGAGCATACGCCCAAGTCCCATATTTTACTACGGACCCGGGACCGTCAAAACACGAGTCCGGGTCCGTTTACTAAAAATGTTGACCGAAGTCAAACTTGGCCTTTTAAGAGGGACCGTCAAAACACGAGTCCGTGAAAATTTCTTTGGGTTGACAGCCAACTTTGTCGAATTGTTGACATTGAAGAAAAAGAAGGAAAAATGTGTGCAAATTGTCAAATATAGTAGGCTTCAGAGAGTGAGACTTCGGCTATAATTAAAAGGAGAGTTTCGGCTCTCATTTCTACACACCAACAAAGAGAAAGAAAGAGTGAGGTTTCACAAACAGGGTGAGAAAAATAGAGAGTGAGCGATATTGTAGTGAGGTGGGAATATCAAAAGAAGGTTATTTCTTTTAAGTGTTGTATTGGTCTTCGGAGTATTTTATTCGGACCTACAAAGTGTAAAATTCCTTGCTATAGTAATATCAGTTTCTCTTCTCGGGGCCGTAGTTTTTTCCCTTATTCAAAAGGATTTTCCACGTAAAAATCTTGGTGTCGTTAAATTTGACTATTCTCTTATTATAAGAACAATTGTATTCAAAATAAAAAAGAATAAAAGTCAAACTAGAGATAACCTTTTCATTTTATCAAAGAGACCACAGCTTTTGGTTACTAAAATAAATGCATTGAAACGATCTTGTAGGTTTTCTTTATTATTTTTTTTATTGTATTTTCTAACTAATATATATTATTCATTTGACATAACATTATGTAATGTTTGATATGTAAAATTGAAAAAAAATAGTGAAATGGCGTTCAACACTTTTTGACTTTTAGAAGTATGACCACGACTTTTTCAAAATTTCTTAGGTCAAGCTGTTCTAAAGCGTGTGAAAATAAGAAGAGTTTAATATAATCTTTTTTGGCGGCCAAAAGCCATTTTGACATTGTTTTTGTTGTCCTTTAAAAGTGCGCATGATATATTGTTCCCACTTACGTAACATGGTGTTACTTGTTCTTCGCAAGCAAATAAATCATTTAATTGTTTGAGAAATTCCTTTTATATTACCAATGGAGCCACATATTTAATAAATCATTTTTAAGTTTTAAAATGTCTAGAAGCATTACATTCGAGAGACAGAGTCTTATAATTTTTCCAGCTAACAACAATTTTAAAAGTTCGGCTCACCAGATTCCTCCGCCCTTAACCAGAAATCTCGTGTTCGAGCCTACAACAAAAACAACAAACCCAATATAATTTCACAAGTGGGCTCTGAGAAAGTTAATGTGTACGCAGACCTTATTCTACCTTGTAGGCCGTTTCCAGTGAACCTTTGGCTCAAGGGATAGTGAACATGTTCGAGCCCGTAATTAAAAAAAAATTTGATAAGGAATGTGTCCTTAATGAGCAATATATGACGTGAATTTGAATTAGTGGAACTGATAGATACAAATACCAGATGATTATACCCAACTTTGGGATGTAGTTGGTTGAAATTTGTTTAAGAAACACATGGAATATAGATGTGGTTTACACATAATAAAGGAACGACTTTGTCAAGTGAGATGTTATAGAATTGGTCGAATTTTTTTCTGATGTTTAAAATTGGTTATGCGATTTGCACATTTTATATAATTGACTTGTACTACGCTTTTAGCACGTATTATACAAATATGCTCTTTGATCTATAGTCCTATTAAGAAATTCACTTAATATTTATATATAAATCATCTCGAACCCATTAAGCAAAAATAGTTGGGGTCCAAAAGCATAAACTTAAAATTCGAAATCCGCCTCTATTTAAACTCAATATTTATATCAAAAAATTCACTTAATATATCCGTCTCTGTTTAAATTGAAGAATAATGACCATTGCACATAGTATGCACAAACTATTTTGAGCAAATAATTCCCTTCTAAATTGTTTTAACACTCAATATCTCTAGCTAATTATCATATAAATCAACCAAACCCGATTTTCTGTCGATAATTTTACCTATACTTATTAGGCTCAATTAAATTCCATTTCGTGCTCTTTTTTTCCCCAAAAATTTTACTTCAAGCAAAAAACATCAGAAAATTAGAAACTACAATACTTGCCTTCAATCAACAGTTGCTTAATCAAGAATAATTCCACCAAACGAGAAAATAATTTTTTTATATATAAGAAATATAATGGTAAGAACACAACATCTGACCATAGACTTGGTATTACTCTTCTCCAAAACTTAAGGAGCAAATTTTAAATTTAGAACATTAATTAAATGCAACATTTTTAATATTTTTCTTCGTCATCATCAGTAATCCTTGAGTAATTTCCGGACCTGTTCCAGTGTGACAAAGAGCACAATAGTGAATGGTCCTTGCCTTGAGATTGTAGGGATGAAACCCTTGTAAAGTGCCATGGGTCCCTCAGCTTTGATAGTTTTCATAGCACAATCAAGGGCCCCACTATAAGGTGGGGCCATACCGGGCTCCACCCTCATGTTCATGACACGTGTCTTAATCACGTCCACCGGATTCGACGCCACTGCCGCCACGAACCCGGCGGCGAAGCTCGCAGTCACGTGGGTCCCAAGCCCGTCCTTCATCAGCCCCTTGTCTAAGATCGTCTCTTTAAACTGATCGTACGATGCCAGCTGTGATGCTGTAACGAGCATAGCGCGGTTCACCGTAAGAGATGAGCCGCGCCACAGGCTAGTAATCCCTTCGCTCTTGCTCATTTGTGTTATAGCATCAACGACGCTTTTGTAGTTGCGCCGCTGAGCTAACGGAAGCCGGCCGTCAGCTTGCATGCGGACCATAGCAACGTCGGCCGGATTTCCGACGGCGGCTCCAACACCTCCGGCGATAAGCCCGGCGACGATCTTCCTCGATAAAGGCATGTTGTTAGTATCCGGATCGGTCCATTTTTGCTTCAACATATCGTACAACCCCATTCGGGTCGTAGAATAAAGCGTCTGCCGGAGAACAGTCGCCGACACGCCGGAGAACAAAGCAGCAACGCCTTCTTGCTGTATGATCTTTACACCCACAGCAACAGGCCCCACACGGGGCGGAGGTGGCGGCGCCGGAACATGAATATGAGTCGTAGCATGAGTACCACTATGAAAAGCAAGTGCAGGCCGGAGATTCTGAACCGCCGCCGCCGGAGCAGGGGATTCACCCTGAAGTTGCATCCGTACCTTAATTAAATCAAGTGGGTGAGTACTACACCCAGCAATAATAGAAGCAATACCTCCTTCAGCAAATCCTTTAACACCCATGTTTAACAAATTGAAATCGAAAATTTTGGTATTTCAATTGAATGAAATAAGAGAGCTAAAAAAGAATTAAGAAATTGAACGCTAGAAAATAAAATTGATACTAAAATGGATTAATTTAAGACCAGTTGGAATTAGAGCTCATCTCACTGGAAACCAGGAGATGGGAATGAAGACCAAAAGCTAAAGATGCGAAGTGTGGAACGTTGGGTCTCTGAGACATAAGCAGTAAAGAATGAATTGGTGAGTTGAGAACGAGGTAGAAGAAACGAATTTATAGGGGAAGGGGAAAAGAAAGGAAATGAAGTGGAAATAGGGTTTTGGGGAAAGCATACGCGGGTTCTCTTTCTCTTATTTTTCTCTTTACTAAAACATGTTTACCAAAAATATTAAATTGCCAAAAATGAGACATGGTAACTTATTTATTGGAAATTTCCACATGGTGGTGCTATATTATTACAAAAGTGAACAAAAAAGGGAGTACTATTTAATGAAGTTGAAAGAAACTTAGGAAAATACAGCTGGATGTTTTATTTTGTAGTAACATTTATGGCTTGTTTGGCCGAGCTTCTAAAATTGGTTTAATTTAAATATTATTTATATCAAAGTATTTTTAAAGAATTTGTTTTGGTGACTAGCAGTTTGTATTTGATTAATTAGTTTAAAAAAATACTTTTGAACAACAATTAATATTTGACCAAACATTTAAAAAAGTACTCTTAAGTTGTATTTTTTTTTTCAAAAGTGCTTTCAAAAATATATTTTGCCTAAAGTCTTTCGAAAATAGTCTCTCTACTCTTTGGGGTAGGGGTAAGATCTGCGTACACTTTATCCTCCCTAGATCCCACTTGTGAAATTTTACTGGGTTGTTGTTGTTGTTGGAGAGAAAATATTTTTTTGTTTCTCAAAAATTATTCCTACTTCAATCGAGAGCACTTTTTTCCCTTTTAAACGCTTGCCAAACACTTTAATTTCGAAAAATAATAATTTTTGGCCAAAAGAAGTTTGGCTAAAAAGGCTATTAGATATAAGATTCAAATTTGATTAAAATTAATTTCTTTTTCTGCTATTTACCAACATGCTTTTAGTCCAAAAAAAAATTAAAAAGTTATGGTAAGAAAGTCTTTTGCAGATGATTATGCTCTCTAGATCTAAGTGTAGATCCTAATTTTGGGGAGCTTTTGAAGTAAGTATGGTAGGAAATATAGAACAGTAAGAAAATATGGTTGTTAACAACTTTAGATATTTATTAGCTATATTTTCTCAAAAATCCCATGTCGTTTTGTATGAAAAAGTCAATGGGACGCCACATTATGTTATTATTATTTGATTGTTTTATTTATCTTGCTTAACATGGACGAGTGAGACTCGCTAATGATTAAAACAATTAATTTTTAATTTAGATTTAAAGCTAGAATCGCGTGAAGAGTAAGTGAGAATACTATTAACCCTTCGTAATAGCAATGGTAAAAAATAACACGAACTCTAAGTAGTGCAACAATTGTATTTAGTCTAAGAAATTGATTTTAGGTTTAGTTTTATAAAATAAGTGCGTGTTTGAATTTGATTTCGTAGAAACAGTTAGACCTCTTTATAACAATATTTCTATATAACAATTATTCATTATAAGACAAATTTTTCTCAGAACCAATTTTTATGTTATATTATAATATATGTCTTCTATAACAGCATTTCACTATAACAACCAAAAAATATCAAAACAAACGATGCTATTATGAAGATGTTTGACTGTATTAGCTTCAAAACAGTAGTTTGAAAATATTACTCCATACTAATTTGTACATACCTTTCCAACTCTAGGAATTCCTTTATTTGCACGTAATTCCCAAAAGATCTTTCTTTTTTTTAGAGATTTAACTCAAGTGCATATATGAACTATATGTGTCCATTTCGATAAATTTAAAGTCATTTTTGTTACAATATGAACAAATAGTTACTCTATTTTAAGAAGATTCGTTAGACAGAAAAGAGAAAAATTCTTATTCGTTACGCGAAGGAATTATGCTATCAAAAAGTTGAAATTTCATTGTGTAATTAATGGATCATATCACTTTTTTTTTTTTTGTTTTGCGGAAATTTCCTGGGGTGTACGTATAAGTTAGAGATAAATTAAAGGGGCCCTAAAGTTTTACCCGGCACTTTGTAACCGTGCAATCAAAAGCATTAGCATATACTTCATCCGTCTCATTTTATCTGATGCGTTTTGATTAGACATAGAATTTAAAAAATAAAAAAAGATTTTTAAAAAGGTTATAGTTTAAAATAAGTCATAATTGTTTATCTAACTATAAATCATCCCATTATGAATAAAATAAAATATCTAAAAATAACTTTTTAAAATATAAAAAAGATTATTCTTTAGGACAGACTAAAAGGAAAAAGTATATCACATAAATTGATAAATAGTAAGTACTCTTTTTCAAACCCAGCTAATGCCAACGGCCCGTTTTTGACCACACAGCGGACCGTTTTGACCCAAATCATATCCGATCCGACCCGTCTGTTTGCCAACCAACGGGTCAACTTGGCATTTGATGCCCCAATTAGGCCTCACGGGCCATCCAATTGTGTGGTCAACTGTTTATGGAAAATGGGAGAAAGCTAGCATCTGCAGTTTGTGGCTTATTTTACATGCGTAATATCTACTCCATGATAACTACCCGCTCTCCCCCCCCCCNNTCCCCCCTACCCCCCCCCCCCCAAATGACTATGATAAAGTATCATTCATTTTTGTTGAATTTTATTAAGTTATGTGTTGATTAAATTATCGATCTTAAGAAGATTATTGCTTACTCCTTAGTATCTCATATGAATCTGATGACTATTGATATGTTTAGTCGGGCGAATTAATATACACAAATTTTATGCAGATTTTTCAAGTTGTTTGTGTGGTCATAACACATGTAGTACGTTATAGTAAAATTTAATAAGTATTTAGCACTTCCTTCATTGATAAGAAATATACAAATTAAACTAATTTAACACAGTCTACTGATCTTAATAATGTAATTTTGGCACTCTTAACTCAAGTCCACTTGCCGATTTAAAATCAGTTTGTCAACTTATTGGCGTAACAAATTATATAAAATACGAAATATCTATAATATTGTGTCAACCTCCTTACGCATTTAAGGAACAGAAAAACACTAATATAGGTTCAATGACTGTGTCATAGTAGACAGAAGCAGAGCTTGAATTTCAACCTAATGGATTTGGGCAAATATCATTATTAATCCATGGTCGAAATTATTTATATCCGATAGCCACAAAAATATATAAAATTTATATATTTTTATATATACTATACAATATTATTTTTCTTATGGGTTTTGAATTTTAGAACGACAACTTCAAGCGCTAATAACTGAGTTCTAAATATAATATTTATACACATTAAATAAATTTATCAATACAAATATACTATTTAAACAAAAATTACTGCGTTCGGTCCAACTCAAAGCTCGTTTGTACCTCTGCCCCTATAGTGCAAATAAAGAAAAATTGCCAAATAATTACAGCCTGAGTGCTTGACTTGGACTCCACTTGTCCAGTTGTTCACACTTCTGTGGCACCCAAAAGAGAATAGTACTAACAAAAAAAGGAGCAAAATGTTGACGCAATCGCCTATAAGTTGGAAAGACACGACCGAGTCACCGCGTTTGGGTTTTTGGGTTTATTAGGGGAAGGTGTTGATTCACTTTGGCCCACTTTTTATTTTTTCTCTCTTACGTGGCAAAAGGTGAATGGCAGCTGAGTTTCCTGGGCCCATTGGTGTTAAAAGTGGGCAAAAAAAGCAAAAAAAATCGTCGCCTGAGAGATTCGAACTCTCGCGGGGAAACCCCATGTACTTAGCAGGCACACGCCTTAACCACTCGGCCAAAGCGACTTCTTGTCAATTACGTGTTAAAATAAATTATTTCTATTTTCTTCCTAGCTTGCTTATTTGAAAAGTAGTTTTTGATAAATGAGTTTCACAAAAGGCACTTTCAAAAAATAGCAGTAGTATTTAGCAAATCATTTTAGAAACGCCTTTTGTAGTATTGAGAAACAATTTGGGGTCGTTTGGTACACGGACTAAATTATTTCGGGATTAGGATTATACTCTTTACACTAATTTATCCCACATGGGATGTAGGATAGAATAATATATCAAGTTTGATGGGATAATGTGGGATAAGGTGGGATAAGATGTGATATGCAGGATTAAGTGTGGGACTAAGAGCCCGTTTGGACATAAGAAAATTTTTCCTTTTTTTTGGAAAAAAGTTTACTTTTTTTTCAAAATCAACGTTTGCTCATAAAATTTCGAATTTTCACTTGAAAATGCATTTTGGAATTTTTAGAAAATTTCAAAAACTCCAAAAAGTTGTTTTTCAAAATTTTTACTCAGATCACTCACAAAACTTCAAAAACAACCCAAAATTATATTCATGTCCAAACACAACTCTAGTTTTCAAATACCATTTTCACTTGAATTTTTTTTCCCACTTTTTTTGGAATTTTCCAATTCTTATGTCCAAACGCCCACTAAGTTTATACCATTTTTGGTTTACGATATAATTTTATCCCGAGATAAATTTATACCAATCAACCAAACATGATATAAATTTAATATCATACTTTATCCCATCTTATCCCGCGTACCAAACGACCCCTTTGCATTTGGTAAGTCTTTTCGAGAAGGGCATTTTGTCCTGCAAAACTTAACAACTTATGTTTCTATTTAGCCAGAAATAATGGTTGCGTATTCTTCTTCCAAACCTCAAACCCATGGAAAGTTCCTAGATTAGATACTCCACCAACTAGGGGAATAATACATGGGCCTTGTCTTGCTTTTGCCAATTGTTCTCAGCATTTGACAACATAATATCTCACCTCACCTCCAATTGTAGCTTAAAAGTATTAGAGAGAAATTTTAAAAAGGAAGAGAAAATGAGAAGGATATAGAATTTATACTATATGCTAACGACAGAATTTTTATAAACGTTTGTTGGCTGTTTGGCCGCTATTTGAAACACACCGATCTAACTAAGTTAAATTCACGCTACACGGATCATCGGTACACAAAGTATTCCGCATTTATACCACACTAATTTGACCAATTCAAATTTGTTGGGTTTGTTATTTAATAAATAATAACAAAAGAGGTGTGAATGGAAAATGGTGGGAAAAGAAATGGAGGGATGACCGCGACCCGGTCCGGTCTAGCCCGTTTTTCTTTCCCGGGTTAATTTAAATTCGTTTTAAATTTCCCGCAAAAATTTCCAACAGTCATGGTTGTTCTGAAACAGTGTCACACCGGTTCCAACAGC